TTCTGAAGCTTACCACATGTTTCTGTTTTGTGGAATCATAAGATTTTACTGTGCCTTCATAAAACCTATTGGTTTCACCAAAATGCAACTTCTGGTGAGATAAACTCGGAAAAATAATACCACATTTTGCTGGAAATGAATGAGTGCATCACATGGGTTCAGAGTAACAAAATGAGATTACGAATGGGGAAATAAATTAATCCATTCAGAGTTGTTAGCGTAAAATAACTCCCAAGGACTTGAAAGCCAAAAACAACTCCCAAGGAAATACTACTAAAGATCAATTTTGCACTGTCAATCCAATGAAAAGCGCTCAAACAATGCTTACCGTTTATCCATAGGCCACCAAACTTCTATTCTGCAACCGATCAGTTCATCAGTAGCCATTTTTTTTTCTGTTGTGGAGCACTGAACAAAGAAATCAGGTCAGACTATAAATAGTTGTTATCATAATGTCAATTAACACAAAAGTAACACTGATAAACATCAATGGAAGGTAAACCTCCGCACCTTAGCCAGTCCTGTGATGTTTTTTCTTTTGCGCTTCATTGATCCAGAGGCAGACTTCAAATTGTTATCACCACTTTCTGCTGACCTACTCTGTTTCCGTTTAAAAGAAAAATTTGCACATCAGGAAAGTGAGCTAGAGTACAATGAAATAAGCAATATGATGATATTGGTTATCTATACCCTCTCACTGCAGTTGCCACCGCTTTGATTTTCCAGATCAGTGAGACCCCAATCAGATTCTGTTTTCTTTGAATTTGATGAATACCGTTTTGTTCTCTTTCGAGAAGAGATGCTTTCTAATCTTTTTTTCCGGTCAGAATTTTCATCATTCGAGTCCGAGGAGACATTTTTGTCCATATCTCTCTCTTCATGCAACCCTTCTTCGGAAGCTTTCATTGGAACTTTAGGACCACTATTTGAGAACTTGAAAGGACTATGGCCAGAAGAGGATCTCCGGCGTTTAGGGACTGAAACTACTGATGTTGCATCACCAGCACTCCTTTGAGATGTTTCTGTTCTCTCGCCAGGGGAATGTTTGTGTCCATTACTTGATTCAAATTTATCCAGCATTTGCAAGTGATCCAGATTTATTTCCCTAACCATTTTCAAAACATCGACATCATTTTTACCATTCTCATCTTCAGCTGGAACAGATTTGTTCTTCTTGCCCTTTCTAGCCTTGGCTCCCTGAGCTTTCAAACGCTCTACAATTTTACCCAAAGGAATTTCATTCCCATCACTTTCCTCATCATTTATACCCTCATTCTCTGAAGTTTGGGGTATCCCCTGAAAGAAGGACAGATATCAATAAAAACAGTAATCACTAGATGCTGCACCTCAGATTTTGAAGTTGAATAACATACAGATGCTTCGGCATGGCTCTCCAACTTGAGAGAACTGAAGTGCGCCAAGACAGTTTCATTAGCTAGCCACAATTTCTCTTCACCGACCTGTTGAAACAATATGTTATGGGTTAGCAAACACAAACCAGGACAATTTGAAAATTTGAACCCAGAACCATGAACAAGCTCTGGTTTATTACCTGAGACTCGTCACCTTCCATTTTTTCAGAAGGCTTGTACAGCATTGGAGGCAGCGATACAGGCATGAAAGCCCCTTGTAGATCAGGCTCTTTGTGATTTAGGTGACTGATTACTGACAGCCCGAGCTCACAGATCGCATGTGAGTTCTGTTAATAAAATGATGAGAAGGTCAGCTTTATGGCACTACGGCACCATCAAGTAGAGTGGATACATATAGCAGCATGCTTATAATAATTTTCATAAAAAATAGTCATGTCATGGCTGTTGTTAGAACAGAACAAGCTCAAGAAACTCTTTACCAACCTTTGACTTTGATACATCAGTGACATCTTCTGACTGTTTTATACTATGGAAGATGGAGCTAATGGTGGGAACACAGTCAGGTTCTTTGTCAATGTCTTCAACCTTCCCGTCTTCCTCTTTATGGAGCAGCATAGAAATGATCAAGTATAATTGGCTGAAATTAACGATGGGAAAAAGTAAGTAAAAAATATCAACACAAGAAAACTACTGAAATTACTAATTTCACACTTGTAGAGAGAGAAAAGTGATGGCATCTATAGAGGTAAACCAAAAAACAAATTACCGATAAATCATTTCATATTCCTTCACATCTTTGCATTTCTCGACGTCAGGACAAGAATTATGCGCAAGTGCGTGAACCAGATAAGGAAGGATATGGTGAGGGTAGAGAGAAACTGAATTTGCATCATTCTGAGCAGAGATTTTTCGTGCTTTTGTTTGGTAAGAATGTTGAATGATATCAGCTAGGTTCTGTTTCTCCTGTCATGCCAATCCAGCGCATAGTTTAGCCAGATTGTCAACATCATCAACATAGTAACATCATGTATATGTTTTCAAATAAAGGGAGATGACATACCTCCTCTGATTCGAGAACATTTGATCCAGTGATATCAAATAAGAATGAACAGGCATACTTTGTCTCCAAAACCCGATCCTTTACATACTGGTGAACTTTTCCGAGGAATATTTTCTTGGCCATAGGAAATGATATCTACAAGAAATGTTAAAAAAAAATGTTAAAACAGAACCCAGATCAGACGTAGGATTGATTGGGAAAGTGCAAATGGTAAACCAAATTGAAGGGAGGTACCTCAGGAATTTTTATTGTTAAATGGAAGATATCAATCGGTATCTTATCATCCCAGTGCTTAGAAAGGCGGAGGACTGCCTTTGCAGCAGCGAGTTTCAAATGGGCCTTGTCAACAGAACTGTAGAGAGGTTGAGCATGAGTGCCTTCAAAAGTTTTAAAGAAAATTAACCTCTTAGCGCGTTTAGCTCTAATGTCTACTAACCTTGATTTTAGATCTTCAGATACTTCCCCAAAAGAAAGAATGTTTTTTAGTAATCCAAGAAGGTCATCAACACCCGTACGAAGATGAGCATCCTTGAAAGGCAAATAGCTCTTAACCAACGTCTTGATCCCATATATCTATTTACAAAAAGAGAGTTTATAATTAACTGGACAAGAGAGAAATTACTTGATCAACTCTACTAGTAAGGTCAAACAAATATTTACAACAGTAATAAAATTCAGTTGTAAGATAACTTTCATCAGATACCAACCTTCAGTTGACAAATTTCACTTTTGTCATCCCAGGATAATTTTTTGTCATCTATAGCTTCCTGCAAATTGGTTTAAGTATCTTCCAATTAAAAAGAAAATATATCTGGGAAACCACTGAAAGACAGATAGTGAGGTTTTGCAGAAATAAAACATTAGTAATACATACACTTTCGCGTTTGAGGATTTTGCTTTTAATAAACTCAACTACTTCGGTTTCTCTAGTCTCAAAGACTGGCATCGCAATCTGCGCTATGCATCCAAGACACTGAAGAACCGCTGGCTGATGTCTCTTGTCCTCCAGCATATCCACGAGTCCCTACAAATCAAGTATTAAACAAGATTGTCCACAAGCTAATAATAATCAACTATATCTTAGCGATATTTAAAGCAAAATATCAATAAGAAAACAGAAATGTCACCTTGTAAAGAACAGAAAGTGACTTTAGGCCGTCATCCTTTGTTATTGATGCTAGTGCATGCACAGCATACTTAGCCTGCTTGCGGTTACCTTCTACACAGATCTTCTCTAGTAACAGGTCCACCGAACTTTAAGTGGACAACAGGGAGAACATTAGAAATCAAAAATAACCAGGCAAGTAACAAATGAAGTGAGCTCATGCCTGATGATGAAGATATATATATATCGAAGGAGTTGGAACTTTTACCTTGATAAAACAATGAGATTCTCCCGAATAGTACCACCTGCCTTTGCCAGAATTTTTAGAGTACCTTCCTTTATCATTTCATCATCATCTTTAAGGAAACCTATCAGTTCTTCTTCAGCCCCGTCAAACAGTGATGGACAGAAACATGCGAGAAGCTATAAAATCAATGCACGAGCATCAATCCAATGGACTTGGTAATAAGTAAAAGAAAATAAGTAGATGATCATGGGATGTAAATAAATGCTAAAACAAAATTTCTGACGGAAAGCTAGTGGATTATATTATAAACAACATGTCAGGTAAGTGATTACCCCTAAGAAGTCCATGCAGGATTGAATGCCCAAAATATTTTTTGACGACTTTCTATCAGAGACTTCCGCTAATATCTCTTTCACATATTCCTTGCTGAATAGCAGATAAGAACACTTTATGGAGAGGGTGCCGAGAAATTCATAGAGACAATGCTTCTCAGAAAGTATTTTAAGCATATCATCCTGCACACAAATTAAAACCACAAACCAGTTATAAGGTTACCGAAAGATAATCTAAATGTACATACAAATTTCTCGTAAGTCTCACCCGAATCTTGGACGCTTGCATTATGCTAGTGTTGGGATCGAGCAGATTAGTCAAAATCTTCCAGATATTAGCATCTTTCAGTTGATCAAGAGTCAAGAAGTTCTGCTCAGTTTTTGGGGGATCAGAAAATGCACGTGACATAACTCTGAATCCAAATAGAATCTTTTTCTGCATCTCAGGATTATCAGCATTCTGCGTACAGACAGAACATAAGGTTACAATGGTGAACTAAAAAGAAGCCAAAAAAATCCAACCGAAAACTTAGAAAAACAAAGCTCTTCTACTAGGTTTGGTCGAACCTGTTGCGCCTGCTTGAATGACAAGTATCTTTGCATTTCTTGTTGTATCCTAAAGATCAAGAAGAAAATTTCTCGAAGATCAATCTTCAATACCGAAAAGAAAAGGGCAGGATGATATAGATCATGCAAAATTATTAACTGCTACGAAAAAACATCAAACACACCTTTGTCTTTGCTCCAGTACTTTCTCAAAAGCTTTCATCTCCACTTTGTCAAACCGGGAAAAGATTTCTATCCAATGCTTAACTTTATCTCTTACAGAGATATTACTTGGAAACAATGAACTGCATAGGATATCTTCAATTGTATCTAATCTGCAACACAATTAACATAATTAGAATATATTTTCCAAAGGTAATGATCATATTCAACTAGAAAGAAATGAACAACGTAAAATTATAAGAAAAGGGGGCCAAAATCCAAAACGTTCTAGATAAATGTCCTACCTGAAATCTTTGTCATAAAGACATCTCAAAACTTTTCCAGGAATCCAATCAAAGTCGCCAGTGCCTACCTTCCCTTCGGCACACCGTAAGCAATACACCCGGAACAATTCAGCCAACCTTTCCATTGTGTATGTTTTTACAAGTATCTGATTTAGAAAACAACTATGAGTTCCAATGTCTTTAAATGTTAGCATGCAAGTATCTGAGACATCAAGACTGAATAGATAAAACGTACAGCTTTGTCTCGAAGTCGTTCAGCAACTAACTTTATAGTGTCAATTGGAATTGACGTCAGTGCACTCACAGCCACATCACAGATAACAGCAACAACTTGTTTGCGAATATTCTCATCATAATCCAAGAGCCGGTCACAGAGAGCAGCTACAAAAGGATTAACACTGTCAAGTTAGTCAATTCTAATGTATACTAATGGCATGATAAAGAAAGACTTACATATGATTTGAGAAGCCTCGGGTCTCGAAGGATCTGAGAGCAAACAGTTCTTAATATGGTCAAMGATGACCATCCTAACTTCAACGACTCTATCAGTCAGCCTTTTCAGAAACTCCAAAAAGATTGAACTGAACTCTTCAGAGATGACACGTCCAGGCAAGGAAAACAAGTCCCCAACCAATCCAACCACTTTCAAACGAGTTTCCAATTTATCAGCCTGCAGGTGTTAAAAGTACGCATTACGTATTGTTCAATACCAATCCATTCAAAAAGATGCGCTCATACCGCATGAACATTATTGAACAACAAATAGATAAAAGTGACTATTAAAAACAAAATACCCAATAACAAAAGTACTGATGCATGGTTCAAGATTCAAGACATGCAGAACAGAGAAAAGACGGAAATAACAATATACCAAAAGTTCTCCAGTGAGATATGGTGCAACTCCGGTTAGGGCCTGAGGAGCACAGCGGTACAAATCATAGATAACCTCATGGTAGTCAATTTGACTGCTGGAAAATCGGCTATCTCCAGACATTAAAGAGATAAGGAACTGCTTTATGTCAGATTCAACTTTTGGCACACACTGCTCTATGACTTTCATAGCAAGTCTTCTGGCAGCATCGCTAACATCCTGCCATCGTAAATCCATAAAATGAGCTGTCTGCTATTTTATACAACAACTAAACCTAAATTAGAATAATATCCATGGCCCAAGCCAGTATGGTCAGATATGCTCACACTTCTATTTCTGCCCAATTTAGAGAGTAAAATTAGTAAGAGATGCTCCTGCACATCTTCACTCTCTTCTAAGAGAACAATCATTATATTTTGCATTGATGAGAAAACAACCTCCGGATGGTCATCTCTGCATATACAGAAATAAAACAATTTTTCAGTACAAGGTCCAAAAGAGAACACGAAAAGCATTCACAACATGTATTACTAGCCAACAATTCCAGCAAGAAGCACAGAAAGAAAAAAATGAGAATTCAAAAGTGTTCTGTCGGGGAAGAATAGTAGACTTGAAGTACATCACAGGAATTCTTAACCGATCTGATGACAAAGCAAGGAAGCTAGGCCGAAAGTGAAACCCACCTAACAACATCAAGAAATGTGGTAAACACTTCTTTCACTAGATCATCGCATTCAAGATCCAACATCACTACACATGACCTGTACTTTGCAACCGTTTCTAAAATGACAACCCTCCTTCCAAATGATGGTCCACCGACATCATTCAACCCAGAAAAAGCGCCCACAATCAGTTGAAAAATATCCTGAAACAAAATCAAGAGACGGAATAAATCAGCAGTGGAAATGTCTACGATCACATTTCCAGACGAATTTCAGGACAAGCAACCTTCATAATATTATCAGCGTAAGGCGCTTCAGGTGCTGTGATACGAGTTATCTCAGAAAGGCAACTTGCAACTAGAAGCTTGACATCCTTGTCTTGATGCTTGAGAATTTCAGGTTTAATAATTGCATCAAGAAAAGGCTGAATGGATTTCAGCACTGCTGCTGGTGGAGACTGCTCCAACTCAGAAAGACAAACAGCAGCTTCCTGCATGTAGCAACACACAAAAGTTAACGAGACTGGGAGTTTCTGAGATTAAGGCTCAAGTGAGAGCACTACCACTTATACCCACTTTCAGAAGGAAAACAGGATTGCTTTTGAAGGAGAGAAGTACATTACAAAACTTAGTCACCTTAAATTATAACTCAACAGCAAATCGCATTTCCACAAAGTGATTGATAAACAAACATCTTAGTCAATATAGACCCACATTCCATCTCTATTCAATATAGAAGAGATTGTAAACTGGAGTAACTATTTCATTTTCTCTAAAAAGCTACTGAAGAAAGTGCAATTCAACTCCGATATAGCGAGAACTCAAGTAAATCAGGCAAAGAAAATTTCCAGCCGAACCCTCAAAGCTTGACATTTTAATATCGCCCATCACACAAAAGTGAAAATTCGTGCACATAGGCAATTATACACATTGAATTTAGTCCCCTAAGAAAAGTCTAAGTAGCTATTAATATGCATCTTCAATTCAGAATGGAGCAGACCCCAGTTTCTATGCGTGACCTAATTTTGCGAAAACAATCTTATAAGAACGGCACAAACATACCCTAACGCAGCTCAAAAGAATAAGCACTAGCTCTATTAACGAACATGGAAGACCTAAAAGGCTGAAATTTTTTCCATGTAAGACCAATTTTCGTATAATTTAAAGCTGAAAAATTCCCTCCAAACGAAAATGAAGTCAGCAAGATGACCAATTGCAGAAGAATTAGACAAGGAAAAACCACCTTAAAGAGTTTGAGCAATGAATCCTTAGACGTAGGAGGTGGGTCAAGCTTCGATCCGAACTCTTTCAACTGTTCCTCGGGCTTTTGTGCCATGACGACTGTGAAACCCAGAAGCTCTTAACCAGCGATGTGCTCTTAGAAGAGCGAAATTACCAGACACGAAGAGATTGG